AGTTTGGCTCAGCAGTTAGAGCATTGGCCCGTGGTCCAGAGAGACTTGGGTTCGGTTCTTGCTAAGGGCATGTACCTCGGTTTTAGTTTGTCCCTGGCCCTGGTTGGGTCATACGCGTGGCAACCACTTCATGTGTCCCTTTCACATCGATGTTTCTCTCTCTCTCTCTGTTCCTCTCTCTCCCTCCCACTCTATCTGAACAAAAAATGGAAAAATGTCTTCGGGTGAGGATAAAATTCTCTTTTTTTCCTATTACAGTTGACATTTAATATTATTTTGTATTAGTTTCAGGTGTACAGCATAGTGGTTAGATAATCGTATACTTTACAAAGTGGTTCTCCTGGATATTTCCAGTGCTCACCTGGCACCATACATAGTTATTAAAATATTATTGACTATATTCCCTATGCTGTACTTTACATCCCCATGACTATTTTGTGACTATCAATTTGTACTTCTTAATCCCTTCACATTTCCCACCCGGCCCTCAACTCCCTTCCCCTCTGGCCACCATTACTCTGATCTCTGTATCTATGTCTGTTTCTGTTTTCTTTGTTTAGTTTGCACTTTAGATTTCACATATAAGTGAAATCATACAGTATTTGTCTTTCTCTGTTTGACTTCTTTAATTTAGCATCATACCCTCTAGGTCCATCTATTGTATCACAAATGGTAAGAGTTCATTCTTTTTTATGACCAAGCAATACTCCATTGTACACATGCACCACTCTTTTTTGTCTACTCATCTATTGATAAGCACTCAGGTTGCTTCCATTTCTTGGCTTACATAAATAACGCTGCAATGAACATAGGGGTGTATATATTCTTTCAAATTAGTGTTTTAGGCTTCTTCAAATATATACCCAAAAGTAGGATTGCTGGATCATAAAACTGTTCCATTTTTAATTTTTGAGGAGCCTCCATACTGTTTTCCATAGCAGCTGCACCAATTTGCATTCCCACAACAGTGCACAAGGATTCCCCAACCTTATTTTTTATCTGCCCCCACGGATATGTTTATTGATTTTTTTAGAGAGAAGAAGGGAGAGAGAGAGAGAGAGAGAGAGAGAGAGAGAGAGATGTGAGAGAGAAATATCAATCAGTTGCCTCTCATATGTGCCCCAATTAGGGATCAAGCCCACTACCTATGTATGTGCTCTGCCTGGGAATCAAACTTGTAACCTTTTTAGTATATGGGGCAATGCTCCAACCAACTGAGCCACCTGGCCAGGGCAGTGAGGGTTTCCTTTTTATTCACATCTTGGCCAAGGCTTTAAAATTTTTTTTTTAATCCTCACCTGAGGGCAATTTTTCATTTTTTGTTCAGATAGAGTGGGAGGAAGAGAGAGAAGAGAGAGAGAGAGAAACATCGACGTGAAAGGGACACATCGAGTGGCTGTCTCCTGCATGACCCAACCAGGGCCAGGGACAAACTGCAACCGAGGTAAATGCCCTTAGTGGGAACTGTACCCGGGTCTCTCTGGACTGCAGGCTGATGCTCTAACCACTGAGCAAATCAGCCAGGGCTAAAAAATTTAAATTTATTTATTGATGATAACCATTCTGACAGGGGTGAGGTGATATCTCATTGTGGTTTTAATTTGCATTTCTCTGATGATTAGTGATGCTGAGCATCTTTTCTTGGCAGAGCAGAGCCACAGGGAGTCAGGAGGTGAGAACAGTGGCTATCTCCTGTCCAGTATGGAAGGGAGTGCTCAACCTAGGAAAGATGGCATCTGTGGGTGGTGAAGGAGAGGAACTCAGCATAAGGACAATGGTAGTTGTTCCTCTAGCTGCTCCCCAAAATCACACAACTTAATCTCTCCCTGTCTACTCTGACCTGCCATTGCTCCGCTGGAGCCCTTGTTGAACGTCCATGAATGAAATTGTGTGCACTGACCTTTCAAGAGGGTGCCTGGGTTTCTAGAAAACTTCTGTCTCTCCCTGGTAGACTGAATTCTTGTTTATTTTCATAGCCAGATGTTATGTTGGGCTCCTTTTCTTGGCTCTGGTACTCAGGGCAGGGTAAGCTGGCATGGGATGAGAGCCCTGCTCCTCAGGGAGGCATCTTTGCAGTTGAGATATCATTCCCTGTTCCCAACTGCCACATATGGGTGCGGGACCAGGCCTTTTCACACCTCCACCATTCCTATCAGTCTCAATGTGCCTTCTTCTATAAATCCTTAGTTATAAGTCTTCTATTCAGCTAGTCCTCAGTTGGTTATTCAGGTTGATTGTTCTACAATTTAGTTGTAATTCTGATTTGGTCCTGAGAGGACATGAGTGTAATTTTCACCCACTCTGCCACCATCTTGGATTCCTTGTAAGATATTTTACAAATGACTAATTTTTAAAAATCATTATTGTTGGAAGTATTACAGATGTTCCTCCTTTATTCCCCCATGGACCCCTCCTCCTCACTCCCACTCCCCCTCTTGCCTTCCCCACTATTGTCTGGGTCCATGGGTTATGCATATATGCCTGCAAGTTCTTTGGTTATCTCTTCCCCCCCACCCCCTGCCCTCTGAGGGTTGTCATTTGTTATAGGTCTGTTCTATTTCTTCTTGAATCAGTTATGGTAGTTTCTATCTTTTTTTATTCATTCCATTTTTTAGTATTTTGTTAAAGTCATTTACTTATATGTCTGTTAATAAAGCATACGTCACGAATCATTGTCCCCTTTAAAATTTCTAAATATATCTGCATGGTTCTGGAGGAGGAAAACAGATACCCTTGACAAGCTTCTCATATCTGCTGGTGAACTTTATGCTATTGCCTTTTAACATGCAATGGAAGTGGGAAGCTATACTGTTAGTGTATAGCTTTCAACTGTGATAGGCTAATGATTGGACAGAGATTTCTTAAATGTCTGGAACCAATAGGCCTCCTGCCTTTTGCCAATGGGCTTTGTGTCCAGGTGTGGGCATTCCTTCAGTGTTTAGTCAGGCAGGTTACAACTCTGCCTTAGCTCTTACTCTTTCCTCAACAGCTTCCAGGTCAGCCCTAGGTGGATGATTAGGGCCTTCTCAGCCGGGCAGATCATTTGAATAGGTAATATTGGAAAGGAGAACATAGGTCAATTACACTAATAGTCAGAATAATACAAATTAAAACCAGACTTCACATGGCATATTGGTAAAATTTAGACAGTTGATTGTTTTTGTAATACTAAATGTTGTTGAGGATGATGAGACTGGAATGCCCATGCCCTGCTGGTAGAAGTGTATACGGCTTTCACTAGTGTGAATGTTTAATTAGTGAAATTGTGTATACATATATACTATGATTGGACAGTCTTTGCTGGATACATACCCTATGGAAATTCTCACATAGTTAATAGGGGAAATATAAAAATATGTCCATTGCTGTGTTGGTAGGATTAGAGGCAGCCTATGAGTCCACCTTGAGGGTAAGTAAATGTGGAGGAAGCACATGCTAAAATATTCTGCAGTAGTTAGAAACTTTGAACCAGATGTACATAACCACTGTTATGAGTTTTAAGTTATCAATAGCTATATACCATTGGTTTCAGGAAGAAGCTGCTGGCACACTTAATCAGCTTATTTGTGTAATTGTATTCCCTGTGTGTTTCCTTTGTTTCAGTTGTCAGAAATTTCAGAGCTCAATTTAATCACAGTAGCTGTATTAGTCCTTCTACTAAAGAAATCTGTGCCCATTTGTCTGTGACTTTTCTATCTGACTTTTGCAGCCATATTGAAATTTGTGGGTTTTTTTAAAGCTTTTGGGGGTTATAAATATAAATAAAAGATCTCTGTTGGACCTAAACAATCATCTTATCATAATTAAGGAATATCTTAGTGGAAAAACAGGAGATTAGGAAAGAACTAATTTCTCCTGACTTGTGAGACTATTTAAAAGAAAAAAAAAGGAAAGGAAATGAATTAAGCAACCATCTTAAGATGAGACAGAAATATTTTATTCCTTGGATGTATGTGTTTAAATAACCATTCACTTGAATGAAGAACATCTTTTGGTAACCAGAAGGTTTCTAAGGCAGTTATTTCTTGTGGACAACCTGCATATCCCTCTGTAAATTGAATAAGAAGGAAAAATTTGAACAAAAACAAAGGGAATAAAATCTCTTCAAGCTGTGCAAAGCTGCTAAGACTCTCAGAGGCTGCTTGGGGAAATTATTTTCCATCAGTTCCCATGTAGTCCACTAGGTGGTGGTGCACGTTAAAAACTTTACTGTATTCCCTGGCCAGTGTGGCTCAGTGGCCAAGACTTGGTCACTGGTTAGATTCCCAGTCAGGGCACATGCCAGGGCTGTGGGCTCGATCCCCAGTGAGGAGAATGCAGGAGGCAGCCAATCGGTGTTTCTCGCTCTCTATCTAAAAATAAATAAAAACATATTTAAAAAATAAACTGTATAAACTTTAAATTGCCACAAACCCAGAGGGAGAACTATTAAGCCCTGCATTAAACAGAAGGGACAGTCTCAGGTTACAAAAATGAGGATGGGTATCATCTAAAAGAGATCATCTCCAAATGTAGCTTTTGGATCTTCCTTGACCCAGGTTCTTTAGGTTACAGAAAAGTATAATGAGATTTTCTTTCTATACTTTTTTCCACAAACCACCTTGGATGCAAGGAGTCAAATTTTGAATAATATGTTTACATAGTAATTTTTGTGCCTTGTAAAAACCCATCTTTCATCTACCAGTTACTGAGATGCCATAATCATTAGTTTTAACATGTCAGTATGTCATCATATCACATGTACTAAGTTTAGAATACTTTTTGTGTGACTATATCACTTAGCTATGAATGATGAAGTAGGCTCCCATAAATTAGGTGACTTCTTTGATCACCTTTAGGAAAGGAAGCAAGCTTCTTCAGTGATTAAATTTGCACAACTGTGGTGACCTCTGAAAGGCTACATTCCCTTTTAAGACTTCCTACTCAGAACAAAGCACAATTGAAGCTACTCTTAAACAACCTCACAACTTAAATCATTCTTCTGTAGTTCACAGATTCTGGCTGATGATGTCATTGACACAAAGAAGAAAATGCAAAACAGGAAGCCTTAAATCAGCTTAATGGTGAGCATCACATGTGCAGCTGAGGCCGGAGACCACTGCGGTGTGGCTATGGCTTTGCGGAGCACCCTGGAAGCTGTGTGGTTGGGGCTCCTCTTCAGCTCTCTCTGGAAAAGTGAGTAAGCTCCTTCACTCTTTGGTCTTAGAAAAGTGTATGCCATTATTTTAAAATTTGGACTAATTATATAAAATAAAACAAAGAAGCCAGATATATTAATACTGTATGTAAAAGCCCATCAATAAACAAATTGCAGCATATCTCACAGCCTTCTTTATTTGTTTCCTGCAGTTGCAGAGAGCAAGGATCAAGTATTTCAGCAGTCCTCTGTGGTATCTTCGGAGGGAGCGGTGGTGGAAATCTCCTGCAATCACTCTATATCCAATGCTTATAACTTCTTCTGGTACCTTTACACCCCAGGATGTGCACCAAGACTCCTTGTGAAGGGCTCAAAGCCTTTTCAGCAGGGACACTACAACATGACATATGAGCGATTTTCTTCTTCACTGCTCATCCTCCAGGTGCAGGTGAAAGATTCTGCTGTTTACTACTGTGCTCTGGGGGACACAGAGGCAGAGAACCCATGAAAAGCTGAACAGAAACAGAGAGAGACCACAACCTTTGCAGGAGGTAGACAAGAAAGCTACAATAACTGCTTCTCCCCTAATTCACTGTTCCCTAAGCTTTCCCATTTGGCACTGCTATTGAAAAAACATTTGATTTCAGACATACTCTATATCATGAAGCTCTCAGTTCAATGGTGATGAGAGAAGAATCCACAGCAGAGTAAAATTCCCTTTATACTCAAATCCAGAGTTTGTATGTGTGTACAGATTCCCCTCTCTATTGTATGCTTTGAACAGTTCCCAATCGGCTTATATTCTCTAAAAATATAATTCCTAGAATGTAACAACACACCTCAGATAAGCTTGACCTATTATTAAACTACAAGGAAACAGTGAAAAAACTGGGTCTCAGTAAGGAAAGGTATCAAATCCTGAAAAACTAAATCTCTTCAGTTCACTGAGATATGAGTGTAATTGATTTATGGTCTCTTTTATTTGGAGTTAGCAGAGCACAAGGTCAAATCATGGAGCTCCCCATTTTTTTGAGACTTCCCTAATTTATGTGAATAAAGTCTGATTTTTCTTAGTTGGACTGTCTTCTTTGATAAAATTCCATATAAAAAAACCCCACTGATCCCCCCCCTAGTTCCAACCTTATTTTGTGCTGAAATGTTTTTTCTGATGCTTCTAAAATGAATATAATCTACATGTCAGAGTCTGATGTTTGCAAAGGACTTTTTATTATTTTATGTGAACCATTCCTTGTCTCCCAGGAAATCACTGACATTTGCAGAGTTCTGATGTTTATTAACAGTTTTGGGAAAGGCAGCAGCAGTCTCAGAGAAGTACCTGGAGTCTCAGATTGAAGCTCCTTTGGTGCCCTTGTGTTGTGATGTTCATGTCTCAGTGGCAGCCAAATAAGGAGTGAGGAGCGGTACCTCTTGGAGGTCAGGAACCCTGTAGGACAGTAGAGATCTCCACCTGCACCATTTGGGGAATATTCCCCATTAGCTTACCTTTGACAGATCTCCAAATAGGCACCACTTTGCCTAGTTCACAGTAGTTTGGGGAAACAGTTCATGTTTACTTTCTGTGAACTTGAAGGTTATTTCAGTATAAATTCAAGAGTTGGGCAGAATAGTCAGAATGTAGTCCAGACGGGGTACATATGGTAAATTTGTCTCCACATAAATCTGTAATGGCATGGAAATGAGCAAGAGATGCTAGAGAAGGTGGATAATTATTGTGTGTTAGAGGTGGTTTAGAAGCAATTATCTAGGGGCTGTTCTAGTTGAGTGGCACATACACGTGGGTTAGCATTTGGTATGTACTCAAGTAACAACATGACCTTTAAAGTTCCAGTGAGCCCAGTCAAGTCTAAAATTGTATACTTTATTATGACAGTGGGGCTACTTTCCAATACTGTAAGGTTTGTAAAAAACAAAAGGTCAAAATTTATATTCTCAGTTTAATTTAGTGGAAAGAATGCCTTTGCTCTCAGATAAACATGGGTTAAAATGTTTGCTCTTTTTCTTTATGGGTAATGAGCAAGTTACCTAATTGTCCTAAACCCCAGTGTCCTTATCTCTAAAACGTGAAATTTTAGTAAGAATATATATGTTAAAAAGTGTAAAAGGCTTAACATTTGCCCACAGTAGGCATTAAATGAATAATTTCCTTATTAATGTCATAAATCAAAGCACGTAAGCAGAGTAGCTGTTGAGGCTATGTTGTTCAGTTCTGAAGGCTCAGTTGATGCCCTAGGAATCCTTTGGGTGTGCAGGATACTATGTGAAGGTCCCTGAAGCCTTTCCTACCTCCTTAACAGTTAAGAGCCCTTCTTCGACTAAAATCTAACATGAAGTCTAAACATTTTTACCTTTCAAGAAGAGGAAGAATAAGGGTTCTACATCTGACCTGCCATTGCAAATAGATGCCCATAAATTCTAACCATAGCATAAATACAGAGGGAACTTTTCTCTTTGTAATACTGAGCACACTTAATAAATACGGCGCATTCTTTCATAAGCAGCCTTTGTGGGGAACCACTATACAGTAATTTCTAGTGCAAAATTAAAAATATGTCTCCTAAAGATTTAGTTCACTTGTGTCTCTTGGGATTAATTATTAAATGGTTTAATGCAAACAATATCTGAGCCATTTGCGCTTCTAGACACAATTTTGTGTGTGGTGTGTACTGTATCTGTAGAGAACAGGAGAAGCAGAGATTGGGCAATCACCTGGAAATTTTAATAAAATCTATATTGGACTATTTGTCTAAATTTGTCTTTATACATTGATCAAAAGGCAGTAAATATATGGCCATACAAATGTTTAGAACATACACACATTTTTGCTTGTGTGGTAGGGCAGCAGTAAACCCCAATGTCAGGGGGCTGAATGTTCTGTTTTCCTCCCCAGGTCTATTCTCCGTCATGCTCTATGCCCAGGAAGCTGACTTCTATGCACAGAATCAGTGATCTTTCTTGTCCTCTTGCTTCTGATTGGGTTTGGGAGGCATTGGCAGGAGTGAGTGGTTGGGATATTTAAATTCTAATATCCTTTCTTTCCTGTACTGAAGTCCACAGGTCCTACCAGGTGGTATTCTCCCTCAGTTGCAGGTCTCCACAGGCTAGGGCAATTTCTTCCTCTTCTGTCCCTTCAGGCCCAGGACTGTGAAGCCTCTGGCTGTTGTGAGCCCCAGAGTGCTTCACCTTCTCCTGTAGGTTTCCCTTGATTCTGCACATACAGTTAAACATATTCCTTTCATGTGGAGGGCGGCTGAGCCAAGGTCTCTTGTTCCTGTGGTGTTTGCACGGTCTCACCCAGGAGCCTTTTGTCCGAAGGCCACTTGTTCCCATGTGCCAGCAAGGCCCACACAGGAGTGTCCTGAGCTGTGGGCAAGAATGTATCGACAGTCTGGACCTTGAGCTCAGAGGCCCATGGAAACATTTGGTGTTTGAGAACAGTGAAGCTTTTGAACTTGCCCCCACTTCAATTGGCTATATAATAAATGAACTGGCTGGGCTAGCTCGGAGTCACTGTTTCTCCATCAGAGAGCAGTGTCCCACCTGGCCCCAGCTTTTCTCTCTAGAATGTCTCTGTGTCTTTCTTAGTCTCTGTGTTTTTCTCAGTCTCTCTTCTCCCCTCCTCAGGTCTGGTTCGACTAGCCGAGCAGGTTGCGGCACTTTCATTAGGTTTTCTCCTTTTCCCCCCAAGCATCCTCTTGAAGTGATTGCCAGGACCCTCAAAGATACAATACAAACATTCATCTTGTGCTCTAGGTGGTGAAAGGAGAAATTTGTTATAGGTTCCTATTCACCACAGACCTCTTTAGGACTCAAAGATTAGTATTTAAAGATGATTTACATATTCCAAAGAAAGATATCATACAGTCAATGTTTCAACTATTAAAGTATGATATCGTTAACCAAGCTTTCAGAAACAGGTATATTCCACTTCTTTTTCTGATTCCAAGCAAAGAGATTTTCTATCCTCTTTCCAAAATATATGGTTTATTTGCATATTATTTAAAGAAAAAATAAGGCAAATCAGAGAAACAATGTCTTTATATTGATACTTGCTTGTTTTCTTTCTTTTTTTAAAAAAATATGTTTTCATTGATTTTACAGAGAAAAGAAAGGAGAGAGAGACAGAAACATTGATGTGAGAGAGAAACATGGATCGGCTGTCTCCTGCAAGCCCCCTACTGGGGATGGAGCGCGAAACCCAGGCATGTGCCCTGACCGAGAATCGAACCAGGACCTCTCAGTCCATAGCACAATGCTCAATCCATTGAGCCACACCAGCCAGGCTGGCTTGTTTTCTTTAAATTGAATCTGTTGAATAATTACTCTGCCACTCTTGTGGCATTTTTTTACTACTAAACTTAACTTGTCTTCCCCTTAAAATGAGCCCTTCATCATCATCATCATAATACTTCAAACTTAATTAACCATCAATTTTTACCCCTTATACATTTTATTATTTATTCACTGTCACAAAAAATGACAAATTAAGCAGAAATTTTATTTTCAAGTTCTTCAAAGATTATTACAAACACAAGTAAAATATCCTTTTTTAATTGATTTTTTTAGAGAGAGAGAAAAGAAGGGAGAGATAGAAAGATTGATGTGAGAGAGATACATCATCAGCTGTCTCCTGCACGACCCTACTGGGGATCAAGCCTGAAACCTGAAACCTGGGCATGTGCCCTGACTGGGAATCGAACTGGTGACCTCTTGGTGAATGGGTTGACACTGAACCACTGAACCACACTGGCTGGGCTAAAGTATCCTTTTTTTTTTTTTTTAAATCCTCATTTGAGGACATTTTTCCATTTTTTGTTCAGATAGAGTGGGAGGGAAAGAGGGAGAGGGAGAGGGAGAGAGAGAAACATTGACATGAAAGGGACACATGGAGTGGCTGCCACCTGCATGACCCAACCAGGGCCGGGGACAAACTGCAACCGAGGTACATGCCCCCAGCGGGAACTGAACCCGGGTTCTCTCTGGACTGCAGGCCAATGCTCTAACCACTGAGAAAAACCGGCCAGGGCTAAAGTATCCTTTTTTATTTATTTATTTATTATTATTTTTTATAATTTATTCACCATGTTTATTTTATAAAAAGTATTTGATCAAAGATAAAACAAAGGCATTCTTACACAAGTATGTTAAAACCAAGTGATATTATCTGAGTGCTCAAAAAAGATTAAAATTTTATATACACACAATATACACCTAATATATTGATTTTATGCTACTAAAATCATCTTTGACAAAAAGGAAAATTAGGGTTTTGGTTTTTTTGTTTTGTTTGTACAAAAGTTCTAAAAATCCAAATGACAATTAGAATCAAAATACTAGATGGCATATGAAATATTATTTTCTTAAATAATTACCTTAATATTTTCTAAAGTATTAATACTTCCATAAGAAAAATTTAATTACTTATTAGGTGTCATAATAATTTCTATTTTTTGTAACTCTATTTCCAAAAATAACACAATTCAATCGCCT